TTGTTGTTGTTTGTTTGTTTTTGTTTCTTGGATGAGTACTTTGTTTTGCTTGCTGTTTTTGTTCTTCTTTCTTTGTCGTTTTTGCTTTGTTTTTGTTGGCCTGCTGGCCTGATTTAAGTGTTTGTGTTTTTTGCTTTATGATTGCTGTGTTTTCTAATGTCTTTTTCATACATCCCAATAACTGAAGGCTTCGTTCTCTTAAGTTTAGTGATTGTGTCGTCCTCGACATGTGTTGCATTATGCCCATTATGCGATCCCCACAGTACAAGAACCCATCTGCCTTGCCTCGAAGCGACCTGAAAGGCCCGGTGCACAGTGGCCCACAGGATAAACACCTCCAGCTGGACAAGAATGTTCTTCGAAGCCATGAGATGCACAAGATGTCCTACTTGCAAGGAACAACGGCCAATAAGTGAGATATTCAGCCAAAATCGTTCAAACATACGTATCCAAATCTGCGAATGCGTCAGCCTGGCGGTTCACCCGGAGGAAATAGAAGAACCTGTAGATGCAAAGCGCCTGAAACCAGTTGGTGGCACGCATGCGACTAGGGCAGCACTGCAGGGCCTATATTCACCCATGCCAGGAACGGCACTTGCACTTACAAAGGCCCTGACAAACAACACCGTGTCCAGCGTAGTATGCAATGAATAGTATTCAGCCATTCGGCCAGCCTCGGGTTGAGCAATGCCAACCAAATGTCAGATGTTGATCTGGGGAAAGCCTAGCAAAAGACTTCTGGACGACTGAGGTGCAGACATCCTGAAACGTGCTGAAATGCGACATTGCATACCCCACGGTCGAATCCTGAAGCTTCCCAGCTGACCATCACGATTGGTTCACGGAAGATCCCTTGAGGATCCGGCATTTCCCAAATAAGAAGCCCGCAGCGAAAGTACAACCAGGAGCACGACGACAATCGTCGTGTCTATAAGGGCCTGTACCAGAATTCAGTTTGGAGAAACAATGGTCTCCAGAGGCCATTACCATTACTAGAAGAGAGTTCGTTGATCCGAGACTCGCCTGTGTGGTGAAGAGATGCTTCCAGCACACGCCGGACTTTCGTTGCATGTAACGGAAATCCCAAAAGACCTGTCATGATTTCGGGCCGCCGATGCTGCTCGCGCCACAGTACAACGAATCCATGGCCTGGAAGAATATGTAGAACATCAGCACAAACCTGCCCAAGCCGGCAACACAAGTCGAGAACACACAGCAAGCAAAATTCAACCTAACCTCACGTCCACCTGGAGATGTCCGTAAAGGCCAGGCTGGTCTCCATGCCATAGTCGAAGACCCGGGGCCTTGACGCATGTAACGAATGAAAATCGCTCAAGGGCTACATACCCTATTCTCCCGCCTGTACAGCTGGATGTGTGGAGTGGCATGAATGGTTCCAAAAGCGCTGAACTCGAAGGTGAACCTTGCCGGCCGGAGTCGACATGATACGCGCTTCATAGTTTCCCTGCTCGTCTGGGATTCTGAGAACCTCACCGGTTCCAAATCCATGTGAGATGAGGAGCCTGTCTCTCTTCACAACACGAACGCACATCTGCTCTGAATATCACCCCGGTCACCCCGCCCTTCATGCTCTGAAGCTCTGCCGAGGATCGTTATACGCGACAAAGCTGACGTGCACAGCCCGGGTCTGCGAAGAGAGCCTCGGCAGAGACCACTTCTCTGCCACAGATGTCACATCACCACCTACATCCACGTACCATGCAGTACCGCCGAGATCAAGCACAAGCGGGCAGAAGCTAGAGGAAGTTGGATTGCACCCATGCGCTTGAGAAGGCAAGATAATTTTTCTGAGACCTATCCAAGCGCTTCACCTGACGACTTGGGCGGCTTTGCTCCGAGGCCGGTACCATCCCATTGAGCGCAGGAAAGTCATGTCCTGGAGTTTCACAAGCTTCTGTTTGTTAAAACAGAAACGGTCTGGGCTGAGCCAGCACGAACACTCGAATTCGAGCGAACTCGCTGTTGCAGGAGATCCGGCTTGCCTGGATGGTACAGGGAACGCCCACGCCGAGTCTTCTATTCTTCCAACCTGCGACCTACAATTGGCCTTCATGATTGCAGTAGGGTCAGTTCATGCTGGGATCATCAAGGATCCGGAGCCCTGCTGGCTCTGGCTACAAAGAAGATCTAGTCAAAACCAAAGCCGCCAAGTCAAAACAAGCATATTAGTCACACCTATGATTGCCGTCACAGAGCAACGCAAGATCCATAAACGGCCGCGTCCTGCAGGAAGGCTTCACGCACCTCGCTTAGCGGCCTGTGAGGATTCCGGGGCACTTCTCCGGCCGTGTCTTTGATGTTCTTTGGGGATCGCAGGAGCGCCGCTGCCGGCTTCCGCAGGGGAAGAAAGTGGGGATCTGTAACAGCTCTCCACGCACCCATGGACGAGACGGCGCAAAGAAAAAACTTGTGAACAAGACCAAACAAAATCCGCATCCCACCGCCAGAGCAGACAGAAGGGCTTTTCTCCGTACTTGAAGAAGCAACTCGAGAATGGGCAGAAGTCGCACTAAGACGTCTACACACGACTAGCCCAACATTCACAAGCATTGGTAAAGTACACCAAGCAGCACACGGTCGCCCACACGACTGCTGAAAGAGCTGCTGCGAATTACGCACACACACACACAGAGACAGAGAGTGCCTAACATAGGCAACCTGCAGATCTCACTTACACACGCACACATACATCATGCTTTATATCTCCGACTCCTAGAGGCGCTGACATGAAGCTGTCGTCTATGCCGTGGAGACACTCATTGCTGGCAACGCGCCCAGAACAGATCCTCATTGTACCTCACTCTGACAAATTACGGCTCGAATTCTTTTGTGAGGCCGTGGCGAGTGCTGCAACTCGTACTCCAGTCCTAGGCACAAACAGGATCCCGAAGCTGCTACCAACCACCACCGCCACACCACGGCTACCGCGACTCCTACCACGGCAACAACAACAATTAGTACTCCTCCCTCCCTTCTCCTAGTACTGCTGCTACAGCCACTGCCACATACTGCCCCTGCAACATGCTGGCACTGTTGAAACGACTATACAGTACTGCTTTGTGAAAGGGGCGACCATCTAGATCGAAAAGGCTCTATAGAAGTTTCGCCTAATGGCACTTGACAGGCCCGCTCGGACCAATCCAGGCCAAGCTTGGGAGTATCATGTTGGCCGCTTTGGCTTGCTGACAGCGCCACGCACATGGAAACGGATTGAAGCAACTCCCAACCAAGGACTTGCGAAGTTCGAACGATTGCCTTATTATTGGTGGTGTAGCCCTTTTCTGGGCTGCCATCTACAGCGGAGGGGGTATTCTGCAGAGTGCAAGGCTTTCTGCTGTACCCCCGCACCACGACGGCACGCTAAACCAAAATGCGGCATGATCTGCATGTGCTGAAGGGTCCAGCCGCAACACATCCGCAGATAGTATGTCTTATGCAACACTGCTACAGGCCTCGCCGGCGCTCCCGAGACAAGTCTGAACTGACACGCGTCAGCATTTGTTTGAGTTCCACAGCAGGACGTCCTGTCACTGCGAGGTCCCTGAAACCTCTGCACTTGTGTCTGCACAGTAAGCTTCTGTTCCACAGCAAGGTGGAGGCTGACACTCTGAGGTCGGAGTCTGCGAGGGAAAACATCTTTTGGCAGGACGAAGGATGCTGTCACTCGAAGGTCGGAGTCTGCTTGAAACCCCGAAACCCTATCAACTCCTTCAGCTCAACATGCTGAGATGGTGTCACCCATCTACGTATCCAAGTGTGCAGACTTCCGCCTGTCGCTGGGTATATATGTTGCCGTGGATCCACTAGGATCACGCCGCCAAACTCAAACGAGACGTGCTGTGTCGGGCCATATGCCTTTCGCGACACTGACCACACACACACACACACGGAGACAGATTGACACAACTGGAGATTGCGAAGCGGCAACGATCGTCGTATTGGTGGTGTACACGTTCCATGACTGAAATCTAGAGTGGTGACGAGACCGTTTGGATGTTGCTGGTGATGGTGCCAAACACAAAGTAAGGCATACAAAACCAAACATGTTATGATCAGCGTGTGGGGTGGGTCAGGTCCGGTCGCGCTGCTCCAGATGCAAAGGAGGGTCTGCAGGTATGTTTTAACGAGTAGGGGAAGGGTGGGGCTTCGTTGCCAGCGACCCCCACACCCCTCCGCTGCGGAAATGGACGAACATTGCCAAGAACCCTTAGCGCCTAGAAGCAGGGTGTACGCACACAAGACCAACACCATCACCATCACATCACCCCCACCATCACCTGACAAAAACAAAATGCGATGAAGCCAACAAACCCTCAAAGCTACGGCCCAGGGGCTAGGACAGCCGAGAAACGATGTCCCGATGCGTGCGCCCGCTCGAAAGACGCTGCTTTAGGCGCTGCACCTGACGCGAAGCCCAGCTTGCTTTGGGCTAATCCTTCTGTGGCGTCGAGGGCCCGTCTGAGCAAGGGAATCCGGAAAGCTGCAATGCAAACACTGCCGACAAACGCAAGACTGTAGATTCTGTCGGGGCAGGTACATGCTCCGCAAGAGCTTTTCAACGCCGGTGTACATGAACATGGGACGACACAGGCCTGTATGTGAACGGCTCGGGCTGCTGAGTAATGCGATTTAGACAAATTGCCTTCAGAACATGACTTCTCAGCCGGAGCTTTTCCCACGATCGCATGGACGGCTGCAGCCTACTGGGACTGATTTCACTTTCGGACTTCTGCAGACGCCCTAGGTCTGTTCCGAACTCTCGGTTGAACCGAGGGTGACAGGGAGAAGTGCAGAAGTCAACACGGCTGGAACGACCAAAAACAGCCTTGCAGCAGAAGGCCCGCCTGAGGTTCCAAAGGGAGCTTCATGGTGCTCCCACGGCTTGGTGGAGGACCTCCCCTCCTGCAGTAGACTGCACCCATGAAACACCTTGTACCCGGCCGACACCACTTCCAGAGCCCGTTCAAAATCACAGCTCAACCCCGTAGAGAAACAGCAGCTGTCCTACACAGCCCCTCAAACAGAAGTAGATACCAAAGTGGATGGAAGCCTCTTCTCCAGCAACTCCCGAATCTGAATTCCCTACACATTCAGAGGGATCTCTAAAGGACCCCCTTCAGCTGCACATGGTGGTCCTGGCCGAGCTTGTGCTGGAAGTAATTCTTGAGCAGGGGGTCCTCCTGCCGGGACACCTGAGAGTCTGCAGAAAACAGCTGCAATCGGACTGAGGGCTACCTGCTCCGACGCAGACGACTGCATGGCCGATCCACTCGAAATGCTGGAGCATGCTGACTGGAGTTCTTCATGGTCACAAGCGCGAGGCATTGCCTCACCTGCGAGGCGCCAGAAAACCAAGAAGCGGACACTAGTCTTCTCAAACTTCAGGTGCACACCTCGGTGCCGGCAAGAATGCGGCAGTGTAACATACGACATACGACATGCGAGTACCCAAAATCCAGGGCTCAGAGGCTTTCGCTGTGCCGTGTAGTTGTCTGCTTTTCCAGATGCCACACGATGCTGCATGGAACAACCTTCTGATGCTCGACTCCCTGTCTGGCTTCACGAAATCCGAAGCCACAAAACCTGGCTGCCCCAAAGACATGCATCCCGACTCAGCTACAGAAGTTTCTGCCAGAGCCCGGAATACACCTTGTTGAACTGAGGCACTGAATCCTATCGCCGAGCTTTACCTGAAACCGCCTTGAGCCTCCAAGTTTCCAGACCTGATCGAAAGAATGCAGAAGCCCGGGTCGGCACAGGAAAGGCTGTTGTCGTCGGGCTCCTTCTGCCAAGGCTGCAAGGTTCGGGTGCTCTGGGTTGAACTGCTGCAGGGAAGCTCGAAGATACTTACCTCGGTCTGCCTCAGATCCTTGAATTGCCAAGTTCCAAGATCAGTACAGATTCAACTTATAGACGTAGATCGCAAAGCCCTAAAAGGCCTAAGGCAATGCGAGGGGAGCCCCCACAAAACTGAGTTTTTGGGATGCTAATCGCCGGGCAGTCCTCGATGCCCCTGCAATGCATCGCCGAGGGGGCAGCGACCTGTTGCTGAAGTACCTGGGGTCACCGCGGCGCACCGGACGGGCGTCAAGCATTGCATCCCATGCATCATCAACCCGCGAGGGCTGACCCTGCTGAAAGCGTCAGCCGCGTTGCCCTAGTACTGCCATCTTGCACTAACATACAGATCAGTGGCGGTTGGTCGCTGGCGAGGACTGCAAGTTCAATACTCTTAGTTCTCCTAGCTGCTGCCCGGAACTGTGAACAAACTTGAAGAAACCACTTCAGCTCCGACAAAACTGCCGTGCCACCTGCAGGTAGCCGACGAGATAGTTGCTCTGCCGCAGCGTCGAATTATCAGTCAGAACTTCTGCCTCAGCTGAACAAGTTATATTCTATGCCCAAAAGCAGCAGCGACCTTCCTGTATGTTGTTTCCAGCTTCTTCTGGATGTGTCTCGTAGACTCGTAGACATCTTGCACTTGAGACACAAGCGGAGGTTCAGGACAGCTACGAGGATGTGCAGTAAGCACCACGCCACCAGGGTCGTGTCCAGCCTCACGCTGAAGGATGCATCTCCACAAACACCCTGCTTGAGAGCATTCTTTGTTGACAAACGCTGCTACCTTACACTATACTTCTGAGCATCGGACCACTGCCAGACGTCCTGAGTGTCGCGGATGTCTGCCATGGGCTTGGAATGGACGTCTCCTGCGCGGCAAGGCCGTGCTCTGCTTGCACATGCATTGATAGCATTTGATAACCCGGAGTCCCTACGCGATGCCAGCAGTGGTGCGGTGCGAAGTGGCCAAGTGTTGGTTACTGCGTCCTCCGAGGCTTAAATGTGCATAACAGGCCCATGAGATACACGAACTATATAAATACGACGACGCATCAAGTTCGAAGGGTCATAAACTTTCAGCCACTGCCAGGTAACTACAATATTGGGACCCTGGTCCACCGAAACTGTCAGAGTTGCCCCTCTCCCGCTGCTCCTGCCAGAAGCTCCAAGATGCCTTAAGGCGCTCGATCGAAAAACTACGTACCACAATGTTGAGAATTCGCAACAACTTCCGGGGCCTGCACCCTTGGTGCAGTAGAAACCTTCACCAGGCGGCCGCAGAAGGTACACATTGGAAGCGGAGAGGATGGCGAGAACCAGGTAGACCTTACACAGATCAGCCCTTGTTTGTCGGGAGGGCCAGACCTGCAACCCCAAAGCCCAAAGCCTCAGAAGGCCGAAGCATTGGCTCACAAAATCCGTCCAGGATCTGGCGATAATCGGTCAGACGCATGTCGTTCTGGGATGCTGGCACATAAACTTCGTAGCTTCGTCCGCTGCAAGTGCCTCTGGATGATTCACCAGATTTCATGATTGACCCGGCGTCGATCGGCTTTCGCCACAGACCAGCCACTGCAAGAGCAGTTGGCCAGGGAGGTTTGGAGGGAAAGCCGGGCATCTGTTGCACCTTGTATATTCGTCGAACCCTGAAAGCCCCGTCTTCTGAGCGCGCAAGCTGCTTCACGTCCTTGTCTCGCTGCGTCATGAACCTGTTCTTCTTAGTTCGCAGTTCGACAGGCTCAGCTCGGAGCTTCGCATTTCATGATTTGCTGCACTTGTGACTACAGATCTCAAAGGTTCTCAATCCAATCTGGCGCACTGGTAGAGGCCGGGGAGAAGGACCATCTGCTCTGCCAACGAACCGTCAGCGCCTGTGCCAACATGGAGGAATCATGTTTCGGCCCCCTCTCAGACTTCAGGATGGACCAGGTCTAGCCAAGCGCCGTCAACTCGACGCACAGAGACCCACTCCAAGAGCTGCAAAAGCCCACAACGGAACCCAGATGTATATGCCCTATCTTCCCAGCCCTATCGGATTGTTTACCCTTTCGAATAAACCCTAAACCGGATTCCAGGGAAGAGTGGCCCTGGACATGAGGAGAAGAGGCCAAGGCCGGGAGGCCTGAGAGGGCGCTCGTGGTGGCGCTCTTCTCCTGGATGCAGGGGATGCTTCGGGCCTCTTCAACCTCCCCTATGTACATATACGTATGGACATCTATGTGCATATACGTACATACATATATACAGATATGCATATATGTGTGAGCGTGTATACATAGCATATATATATACACATTCACACATTTACACATCTACATGTCTACATGGCTCCCGCATGGCAGTGTCCGCAGGCCCAGCTTCGCAGGTTTCAGAGGAGACATGTCCACATATAGATGCATGCATCTATGTATGTATACTACAATGTGTTTTGCGTGCATACTTATTTGAGTACTGTCATGAAGAGTCTTGTCTCGCAGCTCTTGCTTTGAGACCTTGCCCTGTTACTTACACGGAAACTACCAAAGCCCCCGGCCTGCAGCTGCTGCCGCAGCTGCTGCCCTCTTCGCCCTGGAGTAATGCTTCGACTCTCTCAGAGGCTATGATCTCAAGCAACTTCCGGCCGGTGCAGAGGCCAGAACCAGTCTTCGGAATGATATCCATGTACTCCTTGTCCAGTAGCGAAATGTTCTTCCTGGGCTGGGGGAAGGTTTCGCATGCGGAGCGAGGTGCTTGATGTTCGCTCTCTCTTCTTCCACGCATTGGATTTGATGCCCACTTTCACGGGCCACACTCATCCAGTTCGGCGTCTTTGCCCCTCCAAAGCTCTCAGATTGAAGAGGGCAAAAACTTGCGAGATCTTGCGACGCGCACACTCCGTTGGCTCCTCTCCTGTCTGCGGGCACACACGCCTGGGGTTCGGAATTATGTGTCTTGGAATAACCGTGGTCCAGCCCAGTCCATGTCTCTCCTGCATCCATGCTGTGGGTGGCTCGCTGTTTCTCCTTGTCTTCCTTTTCTGAAAGCGCGTGAGCCGAGACCAAGCCGGCAACCCTAAACCACACGAAGGAGCCAGTAACCCGACAACATCCGATAACCTCAACACTGGTTGTAAATCCGAAACGAACGACACTGAGTTGCCGTCGGTGCTTTCTGCACGAGCACGAAATGTGCCTCCTCGTCCTTCCGGAAGGCGTCGACCACCCTGGGCAGATGAAATTGAGTCTGCTCACCATCATCGACCCGATGGTAAGCACGCCTGACCTCAAACATACCTTGCAAAGTGATAGGCCTCTACTCTAAAATCTCCCTGCTCGGAAAAACGAGCAGCTCAGTCAAGTAACCACACACGCAGACACCCATGCCACGTGTCAGATCGCCAGATTCCGGTGGGTAAAGTCTGGACGTTTTCACTCTTGGGCTCTCCAGAACTGTTATATATTGTATAATTATATATTGTATATTATGTATTATATATTATATATCATATATCCAGGTCTCTGAAGTCTCTGAGTCTCCGGCTTCATCGTATCACAGGGCTTTGCATTGCTCACGGTCTTCAGGACAAACTCCACCTCCGAGAGACCCCAGTACCTTCAGTTAGGGAGGGAGGCCGAGGTAAGGAGCCGAGCTGAGACAAGGCCGCAAGGAGCCGAGCCGAGGCAGTCAGAACGCCCCCCGGTTTTTTTTTTCGCTCGATCGCCTGTGGTCTAGGGAGTCTAGGGTTGAAAACCGAACCTCATGGCTGCAGGCAGAAGTCTGTACTTTCCAGGGCCGAGCAAAGAAGCAAGGCCGACTTGAAATGCAAGCAAAACTCCACCTACAGCACCTCCGTGGCCCCTTGTGGGCCCTCACTTGAGGTACATCTTGCTCATCTCAGCCACGGCTCCGGCCAAAGAATCCGCCAGCGCCGGGTCTACGTTCTGCTTGCACTTCACGGCCGCGAGCATGACCTTCTTGCCAGTAGTAGCAAAATAAGGTGCGTGTCGTCTGCTTTGCTATAAATCTGACACGCACCAGCCTGGTGGTGTGCCTGGAGGGCTGCAATGAAGTCAGCCTGGACCGGCATCCAGGCCGCAAATCTTTTGTCACTCGGTCCGTTTCACTTACTTGCTTCTTCCACTTCTTCCGACTTGTGACGCCAAGCTGAGTCTACAACTTCTGCAACTGACTTAACGGATCACGCTTTATCGCCCTCACAGCTTTCCAGCAACCGAGGCGGTGATGAAATCTCCCCACATTCAGTTCGCCTGGCCTCGCTGGAGAAAGGGGTCTTGGGGTCGCTCACAGGCTTGATGCGCTGGCAGAGGCAGTACTCCGACATCAGCGTAATGATCTTGCCGGCATGCTCCTTCGGCTTCCCCGGTACCCCTGCAAGCCCTGCATCCTGAACGCATCTGCACACCACGAACAGGGGATCTCTATCACCAGGAATGCGAAGCTGGCGTCCGTCCTCCTTGGTGTTGACCCAACGGGTCATCTGGTTGATGTTGAGAGGAGTCATCGAAGCCGAGAGCTCGCCGATCTGCACCATCGCCTCCAAGAGAACACAAGGAGACTATTCGTGTCGCTACCGGCCACCACGGGCCAACCAGCCGCCTTCTTGATGGTCGCCACAGCCTCGTTCACGTCCGCCACGAGCTTGGGGTCGTCGAAGATGCCACAGGGCACCTGGAAAACAGCAACTGCCGCTCTGGTAAAACACCTGACAGATCTTTACGCGACTCCTGCGAAGGAACAGATCCAGCAGCAACAGAAACAACTCCGATACTCCCAATGTAGCAACAGTATCCCGCAAAGGTTTGGAAAACCCTGTGTCATTCTCGAATTACGGGGAAGATGATCAATCAGAAACACCGGTCAAAGGCTTTCTGCACATTCTCCAGGTCAGGCGGATCTCGAGCCTTGACAATACACGAACCCAGAAGCACCGAATGCCTGGCAATGACCACCACGCAGGCGAAGGACCAAGTGGAGGGTGGATTCCTGAGAGTCAGGAGCAAGCAGGGATGCTCAAAAGGTGTGGCAGGCACAAGGACCACTTTCTTGCCTTCTGGATATTGTAGTCCGAGAGGGTACGGCCATCCTGCCGGAGAGAGCGGGTCAATGTGAAAAGCGTCCCAGATGTCTTCCCAAGCGAAGACCCAGATGCATCCTACTGCCTACTGGGCCTACTGGCCTACTGCATTGCGTCCCAGATTCTGGGGCGGGGGTCTCTGTTCTCCCGTTGCCCTCCCGCGGACAAAATCCGAAACTAAACAATCAGAAAGCCAACGAGTCGCAGTGTCTGCCTAAGAAGACGCCGAAGTGATGGATTCGGCTCCGTCTCACGCCCTACAACTACCCTCTCAGACTGAGGAACCTTGGAGAAACCGCAGCTTCTCGGACCTCCAGCTGCTTGCCGGCGAAGATCAGGCGCTGCTGATCTGGGGGAATGCCTGGCCGGGACTCTCCGTCGATATTGGTCGGAAGCAGGGTGTGAGATTTCAGGAGGTCGTTTGCTCTGACCTGTGCTGTAGAACCTCAGGACCACTCTGTCGTTTTCGGGATTCTACATCTGTTCGTTTGGCCGTTGTTGGTGCTGAGTTGTTTCGGATGGAACATGTGACGGTGACATCGAGGAATCACCAAGAGCGCAGCAGCAGCACGCCTTCCTTGTCCTGGATCTTGGCCTTCAATTTTCTGCTTTTGCCACAGGGCCGAGGCTGAACTGCTGCGTACCTGGCCTTGACGTTGTCAATGGTGTCCGAAGCCTAGCGCAGACAGTGAGTGTGACTGGATCTAGCGTTCACTTCGGGCATGCGGAAGACCTCAACATCCAGGGTGATGGTCTTGCCAGTCCTGAGAGTCTGAGCATCAGCCGTGTTGCAGAATTCTCGGATCTGGATTCGAGGCGCCATAATTCTGCAGCGGGTTGGTGAACACCCTCACACACATCTCCGCAACCGTCAAAACGTGGACTCGGGTGCACAGCTCTCCTGGGTCCTAGTTCCTAGGTCATAGCAAGCCCACACTTGGTCTGTTGGAGGCAGCCATAGCAGCTGAGCATCAGGGTCTTCACGAAGATCTGCATGGCGGAGGTTTGGCGTCAGAAAGACGGAGATGTGAGCGACGAGGCTTTGAGCTCTGAATTGCTGCGTGTGCTCCACTGCTAACCTGTGACACAAACCTCCATCCACAGGTCTTGAAAGTGCCAGCCGGATGCAACTGCCAGTGGTGTCTTTACTTCAACTCAGCACACGGCGCGCAAGCGTCGTCCTTCAGACTTTTGATGCTGGTGTCCCTGGCCTGGGTCCGCAGGCGCTTTCCAGAAATCTTCAGTCATCACAACCTGAGGGAGGGGTGGGGGCAGCCTAGCAGGGCCTAGCAGCCTAGCAGCGGCCGAGCAGGGCGAGACTTTGGGCCCCCACAATGCGGTAGGTCAGGTTCTTTCGCTTCTCGGCATGGGGTACGGCATAGGTGACCAGCACTGAGTCCCGAAGGCTCCCTTGAAAGTCAGCTTACAAGCTCACATATGCAGGGGATGGCACATCGCCTGAGGGCGGCACGTTCCTCTTCGATGTCTTCTTCTGGCCTACAGCTTATCATGGTGGTGGTATGACGGTCTGACAGACTATCTAGTCACCATTTGGAAGGTAAGAGTGAGAACCCGGCTTGAAGACCATGAGGCGTGCCCCCTCATATTCCTTGAAGCCAAACCTTGACCACATCAAAGACAACAGTCTTCACGGCAGCATGTCACTCTCTCTGGCACAACCAAGCTTTTTGTGATACCCTTGGTCCACTGGTCGTTGGGATTCGGCTTCCCAAGTCCAAACTGCCCATGCCCAGAACGCATCCCGGCAAGCTGAGCCCTTCAGCGCTCGGCTTGGTGCGCTCGATGCGCTGCTGCTTGGACATCTGGAGAGGGTGTGGGGGTGTGCATGGGCAGGAACAGTGCAACAATTCAGGGGCTACCAAAGAGACGTGGGTCCGACACCTGCGAGGCTGGCCATTCACAAAAGCTTGCATGCCTCTGTCTGCAGCTCTCTCTCGATGAAGTTCCGTGCGCTGGTTCGCCGCTGCTCGTGCACCTGCGGCTCAACGAGATGCTAACGCCTCTCTGGGCGAGCTCAACATTGCAATGTTGGAATTGATATGTTTCTCGCTATTGACACTTGTACTGCATGCGGCAGTAGCATAATTTTCAGAAAACTGGTTGCTACACAGTGCTGGCGGGAACTGGGCTGCCTCACCGCTCTCGTACCCTCACTACACGAAGTACGATCTGCATGTTGCTTTATACCAGCGTCATCATCAAGACCTTCTGGTTGCCAGGATTCCGGGACATTGAATGCGGTGATTCTTTGCAGCTTCCTCAATTGAGTTGGATGGCTTGCTTAGTCACTAGTCACTACCAACTCCTAGCATCTATGCATACAACTTCGCTGTGACCGCAAATTTGAACCGCTGCGTTGTCGAGAGAGGCTTGATTGTTGGACAATAGCTATTGCACTTGCTCGGATTTTTTTGCTGTAGCTGGATTTGGCTGGTACTTCGTGTTTGGTTTTCAATGTTGTGCTGTCGACTGCTGCTGTCACTACTGTGAAGGCACAATCGCACCGCGTGCCATGAGGAGTGGACGACCACTCTTAATACGAGTATCATCTACAGAGAATCTACATTCTCAACCAGCGGTGCTGTGTATTTTGGAGTTCTGCAGCCTGTCTGCCGGAGGGAGGACTGCCTGCGCCATGTCGTCATGCGGATCGCCATGGAGGCTCAGGACCTTGCTTGGAGCTTGCCCCCAGAAACCTAAAGAAGGCTCAAAGCTTGGGGAGCAATCCCACCCCCCGAATCTTAAAGGGGGGGCCGCGCCCCTCCCCCCAATAGATACTAGGAAAGTGCTTTCATTCTTAGGGGGTAGTTTTGTCTCTATTGGCAGATTTGGGTACAATAGTATTTGATAAACCCTGAACCTTAAACTGTAAACCCTAAATCGCACAGGCATACACCCTCAACCTTTAACCCTAACCCCCCCCCCCAATTCAGAATAGGTTTTAAGGGCAGTGATGACTTCTGCAGGATTGGGCCCAAAGTGTGTTTATGATTAGGGGGTGTGTTTAATTAAAAGGGAGAAGTGATCAGTCGTTAGCCACGCACCGTGCTGCATCTGGTTCCGTGGGCACTGCCATGCATCGGCTTCTGAGTTTGAGACGCCTGCATCTGGTTTCGACCGCCTGCCCAGCGCTGGGCAGAAAAACTGACATCGCTGGGGCAACTGGGCCCGTCACCTCACAAGACCTTCCAACCTTGAGAAGTAGAGTCTGCTGAAGTCTACTGCGATTCCGTGGGACCTGTCGGCTCGGCGCCGATTGATCTCCTGCTCTGCGAAGAACTCGAGTTTGCCTGGGCCCAGTCGACGAAGCTCTGGAGAGAGCATGGACATGCATGGGTGTCCTTTTCGGAAGCCCTCGCCAAGTTCTGCGGCCCTCCAAGCTGCCGGCGCTTGTCAGCTTCGACTTGGCGGCTGGACAGCTCTTGGTTCGTGGCCTGCCAGAATTGAAGAGCTTTGAGCCGGCTCGGGGCCACTTCGGAAGGGGAAGTCTGTCTGGTCTCTGCCTTGAGCTTCTCCTCCAAGCGCTCCAGCTTCTCCTGACCTATGGCCGCAATGTCACGGTCTGTGCTCAGTGACAGAACCAGTGGTCTACAGTCTACACCTGGGCCAAGGGCGGAGGGACTTCTCCACCTGGAGCTGCTTGAGGTACTGCCGGCAGGCATAAAGATCCAAGCCTCAAGGATCGCAAGCCGCAAGCCTTCGGCATCGCAGACAGACTCTGAGGGCAAGTGCCCAAGGGGTCTGTTTGCTGTCTCTGCAACAAGGCCGAGGCCATGAATGGCATCCTCCAGCTCTGAGTCCTTTTTTCGCGGCGACAGCATGGGCACTTCCACTTCGCCCCGCTTTCAGTCCTACCGGCTCTGACCCCTTCAACCTTAAAGCCTTGAAGGCTGTGCACAGACTCCGACTCCTGCAGAGCCATCGAAGCGCCGCTTCTGCGCCCCCCGGCGCTTCCTCTCCTTGCCTCTGCAGCGTCCGAAGTTGCCATCTTTTTTGGGGCAGCAGATGGACGTTTTGCAAATCGAACCCGAAGAGCAACTGAACCCAATCCTTGCCGTGTTTGCTTTGGTTGGGCTGGGACTGGATGGAGACACACAAGTCGCCGACAACCTGTCCCCCTGGCACCCGACACCCAATAAATACGAAATGCAAAGATAGCAGCCAGCAACCCACAACACATCACAACACCGGGCCTCCTCCTGCCTTGAGAACTTGTGCTCACATGGAGGAACGAAAGACAGCAGTCACTTCGCTCTAAGCTGCTGTCTACGGGGGTCCCGGCTGTCGTAGGGATGGAGTCATTGGGGCTCCTCACTCCGTCGTCTTGTCGAGCATCCGCTTCCTAGGGCTCCAGACCTTCATCTCTCCCGAGCCACACGGCTTCAAGCCGTCAAGTCTACACCCCCTTGGTACGAGCATATCGGAAAGCTCCTCTGCAGGCAGGCTGATCAGCTCATCTCGGAGGATGTCGAAATCTGCTTAATCGTGTTCCTTCCGCCGCGGCCACTGTACGCAGGTGTTCTGAGCTGCTCCGGCACGGAGGTTCTTAGAGTTGGATCCCCCTCTCTCTCTGAAGCTTCTCTCGTTGACCGCGGACATGACAGGATATCAGGATCTATTAGGATATCTGCTTGTCACTGTGCACTAGGACAGGTGTGTCACAAGGACCTCCTCGAGCAGGAGCTGCGAAAATCCAGCGACGACGAAGCGCTACCCGCTACCCTTCCTAGCTACGTGCACTGTAGGCCGGGGAAGCCTCGAAAATTACACCGACCGCCTCCTTCATGTGTCTCCTCAAAACTCTGAATCTTTACAAGTTGCTCTGGCAGTATAGCTGGGATTGATTGGAGTGGGCAATCGAAGGAGACGGCAGTTTACTCCTCCTTGTCATGCACACGAAAAGAAACCTGGACATCCGGACGGCAGCGCTGGCACGGGTTGGAGGACAGGCTCATGGCTTCAAGAGGCTTCCAGAGGCGCTCTTGACTGACGAACTCGCAAGGCCGTGCAAGTGGCAAAGCCTCTCGTCCACCCCAGGGCGGAAAAGTAAAACGCTGGGAGAGACTGCACCGAATGGAGTTTCCCTCAATCGAAGGGAAGCTCCCGCAGACTACTTCGACGAGGTGCTTCAGGCACCACAAACTGCAACCGAAGCGAGAAAGCGCTGTCTTGCCACAAGTGCTAGTTAGTCACTAGTGACTGGTGCTCCGTTTCGGGAAAGTGCAAACTTTTGCCGCTTTTGCCCTGTGAGACGAGGTTCGAGGTTGCGCCCTCATGCAGACTCTGTGGGCGTGGACGCCGTGGGCTTCTTGACACGCACCTCACACTGTCGTGCTAAGCTCTTCCTCAAGCCCCCCGCCTTACTCCGCATCCCCCATCATGCCCCAGCCCTTTGAGGCAAAGGCCATGATGAAGGCTGGATCCTTGATGATCGCCTTGAAATCTGAGAGACCGCAGCGGCTGGTGAGCCTCAGGTACAGAAGGAGCGAGCGCAGTCCAGCACCACTATATTTGGGCCCACCCAAACTCTCAAGGACAAAACTCAGCTCAATGCGAGCGCAACTCCTCCTCTGTCCAGAATTTGTAGGGGTTTCGATTGGTGCCCATCCTTGGTCCATCGAACTACGGGCGAGGCACTTCCTGGATCTTCCTGGTACTGCAAGCTTCCCGAACTCACTTGGTTTTTTTTGACACTCACACTCGGACAAGCCTGGCAACAAAGTCTGCAGCGATACTGGTTCTGGCGACTCGTTAACTACCTACTCAATAGACTCACTCAGTTTTAAAGCTCCCCCGAAGTGAGTTGCAGCCCGGTGTGATTTCTGGAGTTTCTCAGTGTCTCGAGCAGAGCGAACCCGACCCAGACTGCTTGCTGCCCTCCTCTGACAAGAGGCGAAACCTACCTAAACGGCGGTACCAGCAAGCACCGCCCTTTTTTGCAAACCTCCCCTCAGCCCCTGGCCCCCGTGCCCCTTCTCACCCCCGGGCTTCCCAGCGTGCGCAGTGGGCCCCTGGGCATGAAGGTCGTCAGCACGAAGACGCCACCGGGCCTGCGGGCGAGGGGATCGGGGACGGGGACTCGATAGGATCTGAGACCAAGCCTTAAGACTCGGGAGACTTCGGCGACGGCAAGCTCTGGATTTGGCCTTCGGACGATGCACAGTCTTCAGGAAAGTGTCCAAAACAACCAGGGCTGGCACCAGCAGTGAATGGCAGCACCTTCCACTCAACACATGAGGGGCAAGAAATGGTTAGTGCTTGGCCTTCATTAGAGAACCGCACATCTCTGCACTCACGCGGTCTAGCAGAGGGTTTCGAGAGGGGCACCTGCATGAACCCCTCCAAGAGAGCCGGACTCGAAGGGCAGGCGAGCCTTAGCCGGTGCTCAACATGCCATCGAAGCCACATGGGAAGGCCGGACATCATGTACCTTCGAGGAACACTTGTGGTTCAGAGTGCCGCGCGATGTCTGCCCGAACCAGCTGGAGAGCAGTTTTGCCCTCTCCGCCCTGTGCCTTGGTCGAGTTTCGCATGTTACGATTAATGATTAATGTAGATTCACTGTGAGGCCCATCTTGCCAGCATCCCAACTTAGGCAATGGACATAGTCGGGTCCGATTTCCTGTCTGGCGAAATCATCCACCTGGCAGGACAGGCGATCGACTCAGCGACAGTTTCGCGGCCGCCGCGCCTGTCGAAGCATCGACTCGCTGAAATCCAGGGCGACGACCTCCGCTGGAGAGATTGAGGGATGAATGCTGCTCTTGCGACGTGTACCTCGCAGCAACTAGCCGGTAGATCAGGTTTAAGCTGCTTACCTGCTGCAACTATTCTGTCGAAACGAAAGGGACGCTCAAACCCAGGTGTGCGTCTGAGTCGCTGTGGAATAGTCCCCGGAAGCAGCAAACCGCCTAGCGAACGCATGCCACTCATGTCACATGATCCGTCCGAGATGCGGAGGTCTTGTGCATCGGTCGCAAGCGATATTGATAACTCCGCTGCCGCACGTACTTGTATGGCGTCGTGTGTGTGCTATTTGTTTCGCGTGTCTCCTGCATGCGCAGGCGGCCCGCACCCAACTGCGTGGTCAGCCCACCGCGGTCTTGCCAGCTTTGGCCCCATCAGGCCGGTGTGGGCTGGCTCCAGCCATTCCAGCCGGCAGCGGTCAGAGGCGGTGCACGCCGGTGCGGCGGACCGCTGCCGGGCTGGCAGCCCACACTGGTCTGATGTGGCAGAATCGGCTCGGTGCAGGCTCTCTGGTCGCTGCAGGCCGCAGCTGCAGCGGTCGCACGGTAGCCCGCAACGGTCGTGCCACCTTGGCTACATTAGACCGGTGCGGCCGCTGCACGCTGCCAGCCCCCGTGCGTTCATGGCACAAGGCTGAAGACGGCACAAGCATTAGCAAGTTGCACAGGTGCTCACGCCAAAGCTGCTCAGACTTTTTGCACGCATCTGCCCCTCCTGCTGAAGAGGCCCGACCCGCAGGATGCATCCAGCAGCGTGTCCTGCGACTCAGGCTGTCGCTCAGTTTGGCCCCCCAAAGGCTGGTCTTCTGGGGCCGTGTGGCGGCATGCCCTTAAAGGTAGGTGCTCATCCTCTGCCAATGCTATGGGAATTACTATTTCAATTGTCTTCAGCGCAGGCGGAGCCAGAAGCCAGCAGATGCCCGTAAAGCCGTAAGGTCCCCGAGCAGGCCGGTGCCCTCGCGCAGGAAGTCTTGGGCCTGGGCTCAGCCGCCGCTTCTTGCTGCAACATCAGCAAGCGGGATCGTAGCTTGTTGAGGCTTACTGCGCTGCTTGCTCAACTACAGTACAACCTTGCGGATGATGCTAAGCCGACCTTACGTAAGTTACGTATGAAACAATGGCCCTTGAGCATCAGCACATCCATGCATCATCATGCATCGCTGCGAAGAACTCTCCGCTGGAAACACGTCTCACTCCCAGCTTTGCCCTCGCCACGCTGCGAGGCGAAATTCCTCGTCTGGCCCCGGGAAGCCTGAACCTGGGACAGTCGCTCACAGTTGCTTTGGCTTCTCAAACGCAAACAGTAGCGACTGTAGCGCTTCCTGCGCTACTGTGTGTCTCTCGGGCCCCGGCTGGCAAAGCTCCTGCGCCAGCCACGTTCGTAGGCAAAGGAGACCAGCCTGGCTACGCGGCTACACTGCGGAAACCTGGACTCAGACATCGTGAAAGCTTGGAACGAACGCTTGCTGGGGCCCCGGCGGGCTCTGGAAGGTCGAGGTGCCAGCGGGCTGCAAAGGGCCTCCAAGCCTCAACGTGAAGAATCGATGCCGTCAGGGCTGCACTACTCGTGATCGGGCTCTGTCTCCAGCTCTTCAAACCCGGAACGCCTCCTATCGCGCGCCGCGCCAGGTGCTCCCTTCTGGGCTCCTGGCAAGCGCTGGGGCTCCTTAAGGAGCTCTCTTCCTGGGCCGGATGCATCTTTCCGTCCCGCCACAAGGAGCGAACTCGCTCTTCAGGCGCGGTGCTGGCGCATGGCTGGGCGCTACTCTATCCTCCGACGAGACGAGGCGCCCAGTTTCTCGACCTCCTGGCTCTGCGGAAGGCCCAACCTCAGGCGGCTGAAGATCCTTGTGATCCAACAGAACAGCTACCCGGTAGCTTTGTGACTCGACCAACATTCAGAGCTGGGGCATCTCGTCAAAAGAAAGACACGAAGGCAGTCCACTCGTCCGTTATCTTCAATGTCCAATGCAGATGCAAACAACCATGCTTGAACTGCTTGAATGATCGGACTTCGGCAAACCATCACCGACATGGTTTATGTGTGCCACAGCAGCAAGCTTTCCTGAAGAGAAAACAGTTCTACTCCCAGTGCGGCTGTCGGCAGACAACGATCGTCGACAATCAGTCCCGACCCGCATCGGTTTCTGAAGCACCTTCAATTTTCCAGCCCTGCATGCATGTCCTCCGAGCCAGTGGCGCGCCGGCGATGGCATCCGTCTGCTCTACGAACGGGAGGCGCCTCGAGCGGCGGTGAAAACATGTTGCAGAGATCCTCTGACCGGGTCATCCGGGAGCGCATCGATTGACCATTGCAGCCAGCCAGTCTCTACCAAGACCAAGTATCTCGGCTGCGATTCCCAAACTTCGCTCCTCTATGGAGTGGGCCATCAAGCATGGTGCTATCACCCTTTTGCACAGGAGCTCTCTGACCTCAAAGACAAGCTCCAAATGCCTCTAGCTCTGCATGCCCCGCGACAGCATCGTGATGGAGGAAAACGTGTAGCCAGTGTCACCACAGAGCCCTCATGCCAGATCTGGCAAACTACCGAAATAATCTCAGCAACACGCTTCAGCAGCGATGGTTCCTCCTCCTCTTCCACGGCCTGTGGTGGTGCCTGCTCGGTGGCAGCCGGGGCAGATTCTGTCACCTTCACCCACCTCATACATTTCATAAAAGAAGAACTGAAAAACACTTGGGGGCTTGTCCGAAGGTGTCCCTGGCGACGACGACGGCGACCACGACTGCTCCTACTGCCCCTACGACTGGAGGCGTGGCTCAGACCCCTCGAAAACTATTTGGAGTTTATGCACCCCGACGGAACAAGACGCAAGCGAGCACAAAGGCAGCAAGACTGCGCATCACAGGAGCTGTAAGGATGACAATGAGGATGAGACCGACAAACAACTGCCACTAAAACTGCCACTACTGCTGTCGCAGCTTCTAGCTCACTTCTAGTTGATGGTGTTGCCACCACATGATGACGGCTGCTCGCCCTCCTGCTTCTGCAAAAGATAACTGGTGACACCAAGCATTTGTTCATGAGAAGGTCGAACTGAAATGCCCTCGGTTCGGTCACGGACTCAAACATCCCATCAGCCCGACAATCAAAGCCATGTGCTCTCCTTACATCGAAATCATATCAACGACCCATCTCCCATTTCGGCTTTCCAGAAACACGCTGTCCTGTGAACCTGTCTCTACATCGTTGAGGAGTGTAAGGCTTCTGCTTTGCAGGTGCCCCAAAAAAGTGAGTGTGCGTCTCTTCCTGGAGACCATGTCTGTCCTTGCTGCCGGGAGCATGGCTTGCCTTGTCACAGCTTGGGGCATGGGGAGCTGTGCCGGGACCAGATCGTGTCTACTGAGTCTACTGTGATTGGGTTCCAGTGGGTTGAGCCCTGGCTCTTGGCAGGGCCAGAAAGCAAGCCGCATGCTACTAGTAAGCAGACCCTGGGGTCCACGAAGTTTCAAATCAAGCTCTACCACAAGCTCTCCACTCTCTACACTACACTGCAACAGAAAAGTTTCACCGGATGCGCTTGCTCTTGCGCTCACTGTTCCGGGGCATCTTTGCGCCCGGCGAGCTCGGCTTGCCGGTGCCAATGCCGTAAGGCTCGTCGAGCAAGTAACTCTGCATGGTTCGCTTCGTTCCGGAGCAAGCAATGACTTTGTGCTCCGTGAAGTGGAACTGCTGAAAATTATTGCGGATCACCTCTACAAAAGTTGCGCTGCAACAAATGCGCCCGGGCTCACCCTCTGATTCCATTTGGTTGCCAATGAGCACATCCTCGCCCCAGATGTCGAAGCGAAGCTGGCTGCTGCCAATTACGCCAGCCACGAACTGACCATGGTGCAAGCCGATTCGCATGTCAAGGCCTTCGTGCTGAACCTCGTTTCGAACAGACACGATGACCCGAAGCATGGACATGGCCAAATGGAGGAGCTGGTTGGCCCCGAGGACCTTATCCTCATGAACTGTCTTCGGCTCATTCACGGCCAGGTATGCATCACCGATAGTGCACACTTTGTATGCCCCGAGGAGTTTGCAGCAGTTGTCGAATCTTGCAAACAGGTGTGTGACAAGCCTGACGGCTTCATTTGCCTGATGCGTGGCGCAATACTTCGTGAAGCCCACAATGTCGGCAAAGAGAAGCGTCATGTCGTTGTAGGTGTATGCCAGCTGCAAGTTGTCCGACTGCATTGACTCCAGCACCTCTTGAGGCAGGAGCGAATTCAGCAGGGAGTAGCATTCTTTGTGCTCCTTCTCAACCATCTTCAATCCCTCCAGGCTCTTCAGCTGGTACCACTTCAAACTCGCGATCACGCGCACCTGCAGGATGAATGCAAAAAAAGGGTAGATGAGCCCGGAAGGGAAGTCAGCCATTGCGCCAAGCACCGTGGCCGGAAGGACAATCGCCAAGCCACAAGTAAAAGCGGCAGTGGTCGCACGCAAGACATTCAAGTGCATCATGGCTGAGAGGTAGAACATCGACTCAAAGTAGATCCAATAGCTGACTTCCTCCAAGCGCCCGTCGGCCAGACCGTACAGAGACGATGTAACTGCACAGATATAGCCAGCACCGATGAGCACGACTGCAATACCGAAGTAGTAGACTTCGCTCGGCCAGCCCAGTCTTTGTGCATTCGGGTTCATGTGTTGCACCTCCTCATCATCCCGATCCGACACTTCCATGCCGGTACCGCCGGTACCATCTGCCTCACTCACGTCTGCCCTGTTTTCAGAGTCATCGCGTTCCTTCCTCTCATTTGCAGCCACACTCTGTGAGGTGCGCCCGCAACCCTGCCCCAAGATCAAACAAGACTTTAGCACGATGATCACAAATAACAGTGCCGCAAACGGGCCACGGATGTTGAAGAAGAGCTGGAGATTGGCAGCACGATCGCCTGTGTCACCAATCCAGATGTACAACGACTCCAGGCAGAAGATGCACCAAAAAAGCATTAGAGATGCCAGCAGCGAGCTCTCTTGATTCGTCTTTAGACAGTCAAGGTCATATGCACGCACGCAGAAAGAAACGAAATTGTGGATTGCCTCTATCAGCCTCGCACGGGAAAACATCGAGCAAAAAGTTCTCGTGTCTTCCGTGGTCAACAGCACCTCCGGACCCACGTTCACCATGCTGCCCTCTCGGACTGCAGACTTGGCCCGATTGAGAGGAGAGGTACCGGCAGAGACTTGTTTCCTGCGGGCCCCATCATGCTGCAACAGGTAGGTGTCCATCTCACCTTTGCCTTTCCTTGGCATTCAGACATGACACACTTACTGCTTCTTGCTTGGGCAGTCTTAGTTCTCCCTTCAACCTCCCCCCCTAAACAATGCAACCTCTACTTAATCTACTTTTCAAAGACATAGAGGACCCAAGTTTCACTGTGGTCTTCTTGCCCAACCAAGAATATTGCGACTCGTCCTTAACATGTTCGTATGTGCTTGCAGACACATGGATGTGATCCACCATCCCCGTACTCATCATCCGCGATGCGGTGTTCACGGTGTCACCGAACAGGGCAAATTGCGGCTTCTGGGAGCCGACCACCCCAGAGATCACCTGGCCCGTGTTGATGCCAATCTTGAGGGATAGCTTCTCCATCTGCTCCATTCCAGTGGTGCACCTGGTGAAAAGCCTTAGAACTGCGCTTGCAGCCTCGACACACAAGAAAGCTTTCATCTGGACAGTGTTTCGAGCCGACTTCTTCTTCAAGTCGACCATGCCCGCTGCCACAAACGTTTTCCCGACCGTCTCGATTTTGTGAATGGAATGTTCCTGGCAAATGTTGTTGATCTGCGTGAAGACGCGATCAAGCAGCTCCACTAAATCATTGGGCGCCAGCTGTGCCACGATCTTTTCGAATGCATATATGTCTATGAAAACTACGGTCACTATGCCGCGTTCTTGGAAAATGGTCTTAGTGCTGGAGACCTTCTGCTCTGCTACATTGATCTGCTGCTGGTTGCTAAGAAAGCTCTCCCGAACAGCTTCCACAACATCTTCGGGATACATTCCTTTGAGAAGATCGCGGTCGGAGTTTCTTGCCCTGCCAATACGATCGTCCCATGCGAAACTGTGCCGAGCAAACCGCTCCGACAGATACATGTAGGCACTGACCAATGCAACCAAACCGAACTGGATGGTCGAATACTCGAACAGGAGCCGTCCTTCATCGTTGCAAACATTGACTTGTGTGGAGCCATCGCCCACTGTGCATGTTCGGTCGTTCAGGAATAAGTTGGCCCAAATGATCAAGAGCAGCATGTGCAGGCATAGTACTCCGATGGCTTGTGGGAAGCGCATTCGTGCGCCAGCACAAAAGAGAAGAGGCATAATCGCATCCGACACATAGCTGGGGATGCCATAGAGAAACTCTATGACATGCTTCAACACGATGAGCAGGCAGCAGCAAACGGTCAGGTAACTCGCATGGAAAGCACTGATTCTTTCGAAGCGCAGCGGAAGCAGCAGCGCCTCGCACCCGACCACGAAACCGGCAATGCTCCCAAGACCCAGGACCACTTCTGAGAAGTCTGTGGGCGCAACCACAAAAGCCAACAGCTTGACCACTTGAAAGCCAACCAGCAGACCGGTGAGGACGCGAGCAGACACGAAGAATTGGTTGCGGCTGGCTTCGTCAAACATCTGACAGAAGGCTTGTTCGTGCAAGCTGGATCTGAATTTCAAAGTGAAAATGTTGTACACAAACTCAGTTGTGTACTTCACATTGAACCGGGACTGCGCCTTGTGCTCCATTGGGTGGCCAGTTGTGGTGGCACTTCTTGCACCGTGCTTGGGCTCATCAATTTGGTCCAGATCTAGGAGTTCGGGCTCCATGCCGGTGACCTTCGAGAGGCGCTCGGCGAGTGTTTCATTGCTGGCCGGATCTCGATCCTCCTGGGATGCCTTGTTGCCCAGCACGTCGGACATCAAGCTTATCTGGCACCACTGCATCTGACTGATGATCCTCTGCCATTCCTTCGCTCGCTTACCACAGCAGGCGGTGGGGTCTGGAGCAAGTTCGTCCTCTCTGCGGTGGCGCTCCATGATCAACTGTAGACCAGGCTTCTTCGTAGGTGGATGCCTCGCATGCTTGGTAAACTCCTTCAGCTCCACGGCCTCAGCTCGGAAGTCACCTTGGTTGTAGTTATTTCGCTTGTAGCTGAATGGAATCGAGTTCACCAGGGCAGCTGGAAACATTCTCTCCATCTTCATGTTCGCCGCATAAAGGAGCTCATCCCGAGTCGTATGGGTGACACCTGTCGGCGATGACGGCGAGACTGGAGATGCAGGGGACTGGCGGTGCCCTGGAACGACGGGGGACAGGCTCATGTCGGTCACCACTTGCGTGCCTCGGAATGTCGATTGTAGCAAAGACTCCTGTCCCTCACCTGCATAGGTCTTCGTGCGCTGGAATTCCTGCGTTCGTTTCAAGAGGTCTGGCTTGTTGATGCGCTGCCATGCATCCAGAGCCAATTCCACCAGGACGGACAAGGCTAAGACGAGCAGAAGGCTTAGCCATCCCGGCAATGATTGGAAAAGGTGCGCGCCTACCTCAACGAAAGCTGGGTTGACAATGTTGGCCATGACGGGCCAGGAGTAAATCAACACGATCGGAGGGAAGAATATCACAGAGGCGAGAGAGATGAGCAGTTGCCAGTCCATCCAGACTTGTGTGTGCAGCAGGAGCGTGGCATTGGCGACCACCACGCAACTCCAGTACGACCATGCTCCAAGGGACAAGTAGTCGGAGAAAGGCCCAGCAGCCCCACTACCACCTCCCAAGAAGACGCAAGCCACGAAGAAATTCACCAAGGCATGGATGGTTCCACGCAGGAGCCAGGCAACCAGCATCCGGTAGTTGAAGTAGACCTTATTCACACCATACAGGTATAGCTTCGGAAGTGTCAGGGCTGCAGGCGCGTAGACATCCACGTCCAACGCTCCCACAATGAAGATAGGGAGGTTCGTGAAGACAACGTTGTACATCATGATCAGGTATGGATCATAGAATGTGGTCCCACTGAAGCCGGTGAAGGGCGCATAGCAAGCCATGGTGATAACAAGGAGGAAGTTTTTGTAGAACGAATAGCCGATTACCATGCCAATGCGTCGGATGTTGCTCCGCCCATGCACGAAAAGGAGTGACCTCAAGAAACGGAATTGTCCGATAGCGAAATCCGCGGCATTCACAGCCTCCCGCCCCTCAGCCCCAGCGATTCCAACTCCAACATGTGCCTTCTGAATCATGCTGACATCGTTCCCGCCATCTCCCACGGCCAGAGTCAGTGGATTTCCAGGCACATCTTTCTTAATAAGCTCTACAAGGGCAGCTTTCTGCGCTGGAGATAAGCGGCAGGCAATCACAGAGCAGGAGTTGCAAGCCACTGTGACGAAGAGCTTGTGAAGGAGTGTGTCTGGTGCTTGCAGGATGGCGTAGAGCGCTGGGCCGTTCAGAACAAGGCTGTAGTGAAAACCTCCGCCGCGAGCGTGCCTCAATTCATTCAAGATCTCCTCCTGGATGTACCTTAACCTCTCTTCTAGATCTGAAGCACTCGAGGAGTCATGCTCGCGGGCAGAGCCTTCCTCACAGGTCAGGTAATAGAGTTGCGAGTGCTGTTCGATGAGGCGGCAAATGCTTGCAATGTTTACGGCTGTCTCTACGCAGTCGCCCGTCAGCATCCAAATGCGGATACCACCGTCCAGCAACATCTGAACCGTCTCTGGCACCCCAAACTGAATCTTGTCTTCCACGGCTGTGACGCCAAGCAAGTCGAAGTCGCGCTCCATGTCGTCCATGACTCGATTCATCAGCTCGTCCCTATTGAAGAAGGAAGTCCGCGCACCCTGCCAACGCTTGATGTAGGCTTCAGCTTCTGCATCAGGCAGAACCCTTTGTCCACAAACCAGTGTCCGCAGTCCATGCATGGAGAAGTGTCGAACTTGCTCCCTTGCAACACGGAGCTTCTTCTTGCGCATGCTCTCGTCCATTTCGCCGGAATCATATGTGTTTCCAGGACCATTTCGCGAAGCCCAGCTCATGAGCCCAGCACTCCGCGTCGGCTCCAATTTGGAGAGCTTCGAATGATCCTCTGTCTCCAGCATCGCCGGTGCACCGCTGGGCACAGGCGGTTCTGGCACCACAGACCGCGCGGAGAGGCCTGCCGAAGAGCATGGAGACGGTACTTTCGGACCTCGAAGCTTTCCTTCGGAGCCGTGGGATCCCACTGCTAGAGCCATGGCCATGCGAGCATTCCGAGTTTTGCCTCTGTCGCTCTTGGGGCTGCTGGGGCCTTCATTGGATTTATCTGGATCCAGTGGCAGCGCATGCGTCATGTCGTCCAAGCCCTCGAAGTCGGCCATGACCGCCGGTGTCGCTCGCTTCGTGTCTTGCTGCCGCATCCGGTCCAGCATGACAGAGTCTGCACCCTTGGCAAAAAGGATGTAGCTGCCCTCGGACACTGGTGGCAGGTTATCCATGGACATAACACCAGCATTGCCAAGCAAAATACTGCTGGCCATTGCCTGTGACGTCTGAGGCATACCACCATCCTCTGTGCACTGACGCACGAGAACAGACATCCGCTTCCGCTCGGACGAGAACTCATTGCACATGATGACTGTGTAGTGCACATCCTGCCCGCGGATGTTGACCGTGACCTTGTTGCCCTGTCGCTTCTTGAAGTAGAAGCCGAAGTCTCGCGCCATTGCCAGTAGCGCTTCTTCGTCCGGGGATTGGCTGCGAAATTGAGTTTGGTTGGCCTCAAGAAGTAGATCCATGCGTGCTCGAACCTCCTGCTGGCTGAGTCCCCTGATGCCTGGGTCATTCTGCATCACATACTCGATATCAGTCAAGGTCTCCAAGTGTGAATTGCGCTTGCTGCTCGGAGAGAAGGTGATATGGTTCGTCTTCTCCGGCATCGCGGTGTGGCATGTGGCGAGGCACAAGAAGAAGTTGTGGACAGAAGACTCCAGACTGTAGCTCCAATGAGGGTCCTCATCACTGGGAATTCCCCACAATGAAGGGTTGAGGGGCCGGCAGATGCTGCATGTTGGGATCTTCTCGATCTGGTCACTCGGGTATCCATAGCTCTCCTGCATTGTAACACTCCCTCCATCCCCGCTTTCATCTTGCCCATTTGACCAGTAGCCGTATGTTTGGCCGTCTACATAGCAGGCTTTGAAGCACATCTTGTTCTGTGTCAAAGTCCCGGTCTTGTCAGTCAGAACGAAATCCACTGTTCCAAGATCCTCGCATAGAGCAGAGGTGCGAACTGTGCAGTAGGAGCCGCCCTGGGCATAGTGCATGCTTTCGTCCCTCTCCATAAGGAAGGCTTGAATCGCGCGGACCACATCGGTTGTCATGTACAAGCTGATGGGGATCAGGTTGTTGTAGCCGATGAGAAATGTTAGAATGGCCAAGTAGGGGCTATCTTGCGCGTTGTCCACATTGTCTGCCTCACCATTCCACACCCAGCGCAAATTCTGAAAACCAGCCGCATCCTCGAGCAGATTCGCTCTTGCAACCGCACAGCCGATAGATATCAGGAAAAGCAACAAGAAGACAATAAACAGAAGCTTGTTGGACATGATCTCCACCTGCGAGCGCTTCGTTGATATCGACCGGCTGGAATTCCTCACCACTTTTGTGTCGTTGCCTGTGTATACCACAAGACCAATGACATAGTTGGTGTTCCTGATGGTCGACCCTCGCAGAAGTAGGTTCTTCAGGCCCACTGGCACTCCTCGTGGAAAGCCTTTTAGGTAGAGGCAGCCATCGAAGCGTCCCACAAGCTCATTCGGTAGGTCGGCTTCCATGTGCCCCTCCACGCTTCGAAGCAAGGTATTTTTCACCATATGATGGGTCTCGTCTACGCACTGCTTCAACTTTAAGGAAGACTCCCCATCCAGTTGTGCTGTGTCGACGCATGCGACAGTGCCTGGATAAGAGTAGACGAGAAGCATGTCTGCGGGGACCGGTTGATCTCGATAAAGCTTGACAAAGGATCCAACCTGGGGCCATCCACAACTGCGCAGCAAACCAGGACAACCTTTAACCCGGCTTACTGGTTCTGGGTTCTTTGGAAGTTGTGGTGCTACATCGTCTGATTCTTACTGTAGTGCCGAGTTGGGTGTGCTTGCTCCTGTGTCGCTTTTTCGGCTACGTGCTCTTCGAGGCTGTCAGGGACTCGCTCTGGATCGTGGTGTCTTTTATTTCGTCAATGCCCACCTGCACCTGGGACCACTCGATCTCTTTGAAGTTGTCTCGAGATTCCCGCGTGTGGTTGTTCACATGGGGAGTGAACACGGAACACAGCTGCTGGTTGACTCTGCGGTCATCCCTCCATCTCTTGAAGTCCTCGTAAGCATCCTTGCAGAAAGTTGCAATGAGCACGAGACACAGAGGCACGAGAGTTGCCCAAGAAGTCGTCGGCGAGATCTTGTAAGGCAACATTTGCAAGATGGACACGATGAGGAACCAAACATTAGCTGTACGGTGAAACTGCTCGAACAAGTTCAGCGGAATGATGGTCCAAAGCTTGTACCTGGTTGTTGACACATGGTTGCTCGGAAAAACGGAGAGCTTGTTCAAGTTCGGGCCGAAGGCTATTCGTCTCCGTCCCATGTGTGAACGGTTCTGAGCTGGGACCCCGCCGACTGCGGGCGGCGCTTCCTCCGGCGCCTCGGCCGCCATCTTTCTCACGACGGATCCCCGCGCCCCATTGCGTTTTGGCTTCTTTTTGCTGTTTTAAAAAATTTGTGTGATGCTTGGCGTCTGATGCTGTTCTTGTCACTGGATGTGCTGACACTGTCCTGGCACTGTCCCAGACATGCATGCTGTGCTGCTGTGCAGTGCAGCATCTACTTCTGATACCACCGTCACTGCCCCAGACTTCGGGGCTTGATCCAACAGTGCGTCCGTCCACAAACACGATGGACCATGGCTCTTCCAACTTGAAGCCCTTCTACTGTAGTTTCGAGGTAAAGCCTCATCCTTGTGAGCTCAACACCTCGACAGCTTCTGCACCACCGCAGGAATCTGCAAACAGATTGTCAAGCAAAGCTGGGAGCGCCTTGGCGTTGAGCACCTCCTGCATCCCCCGCCCCACCCCAAGCCACCCACAAACACACGCCACTACAAAAAACTGATCATGACACGCGAGCAAAAAACTGCCCCAAGGTTGCCCTGCCGTCCTCAGCCGTCTTCGCCGAAGCGATGGTAAGATCCTCGAGGCAGCGCGGGGACCCTTCAGAAACCCAGATGCGGACTCACCCGACTGACGTCGGTGGTCCCCATCTGCTCACTTGCTTGGAACTTGGCGGACGTCGCCCTTGACAGAGCTAAGAGGAGCATCTCCCAGCAATCGATTAGCCGAGGCGCCAGGAAGCCACCAGAGGCACGGGGGAAACCCAGCTGGCCACATGGACACCTGGGAGATCTCTCTACACCAGAGTTACTCAAAAGCCCTCTCCCAAAACTGATCAGCGCAAGTGAGCAGGCACGAGGAGGCACGAGGAGGCACGAGGCCACCACACCGCTCCACCGGCCACGGTCTTTTCCATGGGACGCTGGCACACGGGGCATGCCTGGCATTGGATGGCATTGCGGAAGCTCTGTAGAGATTGCCGAAGGAGGGAAATGACCCAAGGAGTGCAGCAGTGCAACGGTTAAAGGCAAGACAAGTGAAGTCTCGAGACAGCGCCAAGTTGCAAAGGGCAGCTTTGTCTCGAGCTCGGCCTCATCATGGCTTGCTGAACCACTCCAAGTCTCAGCGGCCACTGGCCTCCTCTTTTGACAGGTCCTCAACATCGATGGCCTCGGCGGCGCTAGAGGCGAGCGCTTTTGAGGCGGTCTCGAGGTGGTCTCGGGCCCGAGCCTGAACTGTCGCAGTCGCAGTCGCAGCCCGATCCGAGCCTCTCCGCCCTTCAGTGAGCTCAAAGTGCTTCTTCGAAGGCCCTGGAACCTCGGAGTCGCCGGGCTCCGGACGGTTCCGTGTTGACACGGCCTGAGGCCAGAAGCCCGGAAGCTCTCAAAGGCTTCGGAACTCAGAGTCGCCACTCTAAGGGGACCAAGTCCAAGGCCAACATGCCAACAAGACCGCCAGCGACCAGCCTCTGCGATCCCAAGACAGCAGTTTTGCCAGAGTGAAGCACGTGAGCTGGGGCTTCTGAACTCGCTTTGGAACCGCACGTCTTCCAACAGAGCTGAAGCTCAGCATGGGGCCAGCCAGAATCCCTCCGTCGCTCAGGCCCTGCCCGCTGCAAAACCCGACTTCGGACTTCCTAAAAAGGTCTTCTTTTCCGAGCCAGAGTCTGGCATTTCCTGTGAAACCTCACCAAGAATACCAAGGTCACGACTGGAGAAGTGTGCAGCATCCTGCCTGTTCCCTATCTCCCCCCGCCTGCCGCGGCTGCCCCGGTCACATGTCCACGCAAAGCGGGTGCCCCAACCTCTGTCTTTCGAGAGCTATCACGTCAAGAGGAAACGGAAAGATTCTACAATGGTCCTGTGGTGCTTCGGTCATGGCTCATAAACATGAAACCGAACCCGTGGGTCTCCAATACGACACTTCCTCAATGCCTCTCGGGAGCCCGGAGGAGAATCCCGGCTTTTTGCATGCGCTTCTAGTCTGATGCAGGCGGAGCATACCAAGAGCACCGGAGATCCCAGGAAACTTCCCCGTTCTACTGCGACGAGGCTGCGAGTACATGCACGGGGCCCACAGCTACACTTCCTCCGATGTCCTGATGTCGGCATTCTTCGGTTGCAACAGGGAGGTTCGGATCAACATCTCCCGTAGATCTCAAATCAGGACGCCAAAACAACATTTTGGAAATCCGTCATCTCTTGGTGCTCCAGACTCCCAACTTGGCTGTATACACACAAAACTGGTCGGGGACAGGCCATACGGGCGTTCAAAGGTGCCGGGCAGGTGGAAGACACAGCAACATGCAGCAAGAATGTGAGTTCAAGCGTTCTCTGAGAAGATCCAGGGCTTTTTGCAAAGCCACGGCATGTTTACAGGTCACTGACATCGGATAAGCAGGTGCTCCTTCGCCCAACCCTCTCTCAGAGGCCTGTCCCACCTGCGCTGCAGGGCCCTTCTCGAGGGGCCCTGGGCTTGGCGGTTTAAAGCGCCTAGCCCCAGATCCCAAACATCCGCCCGGCCTTTAAAGGAAACACATCGAGATCGACACCACTCAATGCAAAGCCACAGAGCAGACCGGAGCGGGGTCCTGGGGTCATCAGAGCTTTGTAACATGCATGGCCGGGGCGGCTCGGATTCACATCGCAGTCTGGCAACCCAAGTCGTGTGTAAGGGTGCTCTTGCGGTTATGTGCACTGGTATCCGTTTACTCTTGCCCCAAGCCGTCCCCGACGGTCACCCTAGACCTTTAGGACGCTTGGCTGTAGAGTGTAGATCCTGGAGGATGCGACACCCTCTCAGAAGACCTCCGAGCATGTGACTCTCACCGTCACAGGAGTCCGGGTAGCACCGGGTCTGTTGTACGCCCCTTCTCGCCGAGGTGCAGTCCCCATGTAGAGCAGAAGGAACCAAACAACTCCAAACCGATGTGCTTCTGACATTTTCTCTCTACGACTCTACGACAGGGCATGCACACATTTGGCTTCTACGGCAGGGCGAAAATGCACGCATCATACCACCGGGGAACGGAACGAAGGAAGGTCAAGTCACACTTCCTACAGCACAACTACAGGTCCTTGTGGATCTCGTTGGGGGAAGAGAATGTAGAGATGTAGAGGTTACTTCCTTCACTCGCTCAAGGCTGGGTTCGCCGTCTTGGCGCAAGTGCCCCGATTGGCACGAATGACTTGGCCACAGCGCATGGCCTACAAACGAGTTGTGGATCGAAATGACTATCGCTTGTGCTGCCATTACAACTTCTCCGTTCCTGCTGCTTCTCTTTCGCTTTGCTGCATTCAACAGTGACTAACAGCATGTACAACGGCGCCATGCCTGCCAAAACGTCTCCTCTTGCAACGCTTCTGCTACGAAGGAGATGGAATGTTGGGTATATTCATTCAGACAGAAACATGGGGCGAGACCACAAAGCAGATGGTCGTGCCTTCGCCATGCCTCACAGTGCCGTCGTGAATGTCGGAACCGAAGCACAGTGCTTGAAGAGACGAAATGCCGGTTTGGGTCCGTACTGTTGAGGTCTCGCTAGCCACTGGCACCTACAACATCCGATTTCACCTTTCGCCAGAACTAACGCCTCCTCTCAAGCGCTGACATCCTCGAGGCCACGGGGCCTCAAAAGAGCCCCTGACTGGTGCCATCGATGAGCGTTCTTTTCAGTTCTAGTTTTATGCTCTGGCACACCGTCTCGGGGAAAACCAATGGAGGCCGTGCTTGTTTGGTTGACCTTGCTGCCATGGCGCCCGGTACTACCTAGCCGAAACATCTCATGCGATGCAAATGTCCTTCACCAAACAACCACAGCAAGAATGCCCGAAGGCTTTTGGCACAGGCGCTTTCCAAAAAGCTTCAATAACTCCGGGCCATAAGCCTTCGTCGGAAAGGGGCAGTCATAAGAATTTTTTTCGATCCGCAGAAAGCTTCCAGCCTTCAAGCATGGTTCACTACCGACTCCACCCTTCCGCTTCCTGAAAAGGCGAACACCGGATCCGGGAGCTGATGCTCTGACGATTTGCAGCTAAGTTCTTCCTCTCAGCAAGGGGAAATGTCGCTGTCGTTTGCTTGGGTCTCAGAAGTCTGGGAGGCTAAAGCTGGTCGAACTGAGCAGCGGCCATCAAAGCAAGACTGAAAGGATTGTCATCTTGACCTCCGGAAGCAACAGGGGTCCGTTTTCAGCGCCGCAACTCCTGTGCTTCCCTGCTTTAAGTTGGTTCTGCCGTGCAGATGTGTGTGCCGTGGGCGCCATCCTCCTTCCGTATCAGACGAAGTCCAAAAAACGACTCTCGCCACTTCTGGGATGGCCGTTGTGGCCTGACCCAGGATACCCATGGGACCGGGTGTCCCAATAAGGGGGAGGATTCTCAAAGCGGCCACCTGACAGCTCGTACACTGATCGCGGCTGTAAGGGATTTCAGCCCACATGAGATCCATTCAAATGGTGCTGCCGTCACACCCACCGGGCTGGTGCTATAGAACTCACTACAGCATCCGGTGAGGTCTGTTTACAGAGCTTCAGCACGTAGCTCGAAACGTCTCAAAACCTGTCCGGACTCCATGGGATTGTTCGATGACATACGGCATGCGCACCGCTTTAGCAGCCGAATACAATCAAGCGTTACGCTCTCAAATTGTGCTCTGATGACGTTCGGCCACCAAACGCTGCCGCAAGTCCAACTCTCTGTTTCCCTAATCAAGCGCTGACAATGCTGAGTTGAAGCCAGAGAGTGCAATAAGGGAGTGAACTCGGCTAACAAGAGCTTCCGATGACCATGAACAAACTTGCCGGATGGAGGATGCAGACGGTGGCGCCTTGTTGCATCGGGCACTGGGGAGGGCCGGTAGAAGACGCCGTCCCTCCAAACCAATTTATATGGCCGTTCAAAGGGTAAGCTTAAGGCCCTGAAATATGCGGTGTTGTGTAAGCACGATAGAATCGACCCCAGTACCAACACATGCTCCCGATTACATGATACAGACACTCTGCAGCCATAAAATCATTCCACTGAATGGTGAAGATGCTCGCACAGCCCTCTCTGGCATACTGGAAGGTCACTCAGGTCAACGAAGTCGACCAATATAAACATTCGAGGCTGCCACAGGATCAAGGATTTAAATTGTAGCTGCAGCCATGAGAGGTCCTCTGTAACACTGACCCACAAGGGGGGGCGTACCTACCCTACACTCGGTATCTCACCGCTCTTGTATTGAGCACTGCCTCTGGTGCCTGCAGATGCTCCACTGCCATCTGCCAAAGGAGAGCATGCGTCCGGGAAAACATGCTGACGCCTCATCCGCTGGCACTGCTCTCTGGTTGAGGCTCAAGCTCCAAATCCTCCAACCTCGCTTCAACTGAGAAGCCTCGCGACTGCCCTCCAATCCTCAGAATCAACAGGAAACAAAAGGATTTCCGAGCTCCACCAGCAGCAGCCTCAGAGGAAGGTGCTCCGGGCGACTTGAACAGCTGAACGTCTGGGCTCGAGATGAGCGCTTCCAGGACGATTAAGGGCCCGATTCCGATAAAGTTCCACACTAGACGCAAAGAGCTGAACATCTGAAAAGAGGTATGGTGCGGTGACATTTTCAAACCTCGATCTGCCCTTCTGCTACCAAGTCGATTTTGCAGAGGCGGCTTCAGGCTTCGGCATCAAAGCCTTGATGATGCCTTGTGCCTGGTGGAAATGGCTGTTGCGTCTTGCGGCGTCCTATATCAAACTGGTCAAGGGTGTTCCGGGCCATTAGCCCCATGTTTCTGAGCTGCTGTCCAAAAAAAAGGACTGCCTTAGGCTACCACCCCGTTCAGTAATTAATCGGAAGCGAATCAACTCCGCCATGGCCTTTATCCTTGAAGCCTTCAGCATGCAATTTGGAAAGCAGCTCCCTAGGCGAAATGGGCCTGAGGCTTAATTAGACTGCGCGTCGCAAGTCTGCACGAACAATGTCCTTAGGGCACGGGGCGCCACATGCCGCTCAGGGTCCAAGCAACATCTAGCTAGGTCCACAGGCGACAGAAATCTTGAACCGCAATCTGACGCCACGAACAGAGTGCAGCGCGAACGCATCAGGCCACAGAGTGGCTGGTTCACAGGAATCGAAAGGGCTGCGGCCGAGAAGCCCCTTCGGAAATGAAGACGTCGTAGACTCGCACCTCACAGTTACCTTGGTCAGCAATTGCAAAGGTGCTGTTTCGTGGAATTGACAGGGGATGGGCGGGCATTCAAGCGATATCTTCGAGGTCCGGCGCTAGCATGTGCGACTCCAACCTGATCAGCCAAAGTTGGATGCAGCTCGGTCTTAGCATCTGTTTATTCATTAAACACTTTCAACGCCCCTCCACCCGCTCATTGACACGTAGATGAAGGTCCCATTGGTCCTTTGGGAACGGACGTACTATCATATGCGTGCTCTATATGTTTTCTCTGAAACACTTACACACCAAGCATGCAGACACTCCTTTTTTGCAATGGACCGAACACACGATCCACCATGCTGCAGCTGCAGCAGACCATGCATGGGGGGGAGTCACACACCCTACAACCCTCAGTAGGCAACATGGTGCCCCCACAATGTGCCCTCACCGGGCAATAATATCAAGGGCGGGCGGGTGGGCTTTCGAACACGGTGAGCCCAGTTCTCACAAGCTGCACACCGCACTGAGATGCATGCTGTGGGTGTGTGAAGTGTTTGGTGCATGCACGGGGCGCGCAGGCATTCCTTTTCTCTGTATACAAACACAAATACTATATGAGCGAACTTCACGGTCCGCGCGATTCATTTGACGTGTTGTGCTAAACAGCCTGAAACTGAAACCCGAGAGAACGAAACGACAGCAGCAGTAATAATAGCGGGAGCAGTCGCAGCAGTAGCAATAGCACCAGCACTAGTAGCACGAGTACAAGCAGTAGTCGCAGCAGTAGCAGTAGCAGTAGTCGTTGTCGTCGTCGTAGTTGTTGTTGTGCTTGGTGGTAGCGGTAGTGGTGGTAGTAGTAGTAGTAGTAGTAGCAGCAGCAGCAGCAGCAGGAGTACTAGTAGTAGTAGTCGTCGTCGTGGTGGTGGTGGTGGTAGTAGTAGTAGTAGCAGCAGCAGCAGCAGCAGCAGTGCAGCAGCAGCAGCACCAGGGGCGCGCACGCGCGTGCCCCCAGCTCTTAGGTGGGGATAGCCTATTTCGGTTCTTACATTGACATTGCTAGGGACGGCACTTCGGGGCGGGGCGGCCGGGGGGGAAGTTGATGACGTCCGGTGTCGTGCGGACTCTGCCAGACATATTGTCTTCTACGACATGTCGGAAAAAATGCTTGCCTCAGGTATAAAGCCGCCGGCAAACAACGAAACCATGGACCGTCCGCCCCGGCAATATTGGCAATACCATTGCCATCGCTACCCCCACTACTACCACCATCACCGGTGGTGCACTCGACACCGACTGCACACTCAGCAGCAACGGTCTCACATGATCTTGGCTGCCCCTTGTTGCGCAGCGGGAACCGGCTCTGATCCATACTACTCCATCATCATTTTCTCGAATGTGCGAGCGCCTTATTGGCCTTCTCAGCCCCCACTTCCTATAGTCCCTACCGTCACATGCAACCTCCGCCTCTCAATTGCAATGCAGGCCACTGAACTCCGAGGCTGTCGGTCGGTTGAAGGGCCCGCGCTCCAACTCGCGCAGGAAAGCCTAGCCCAGGCGAAGGGAGCTCAGAGCTTTCAGCTCTGACCCTCTTCCTGAAGCGAAGGGCAGGCATACCTACAACGATCAAAACCCATGGAAAGATAGATGGATGATTTCGTGGATGAATGCATAGATGTACAGGTGCACAAACACGGACACATGAATAGGCAAACAGACATGCGGTGTTGCAAGCGGGCAAGCTGAAGCACATGGATAGAGAAGTATCATGAAGTATCCAGGCATGTGTCTGCAGAGGCGTGTACCACTCCACCATCCCACTTTGCCAAGCTAGATAGTACTTTCTAGTGCCTGCATACAGATGGGACATGATGGGACGACATTGTCAACCGACAGGGTCGACTTTGTGACTTCGCACGCTAGGTCGTTGTCGTGCACTTTCCTCGCTGGATTGTTTCGATGTTGGCATCACCATCGACGGACTGAACCAAAACTTCCCCAGTCCTCGCACCAGAAACACCAAAACACAAGCTTTCACATCCACTCGGGCCTTGTGAGTGACCAGGCACACGCTCTCTGCACTCGCGTCCTGCAACAACTTCCTTGGCTGCGAGGCTCAGGATGTTTCGACAGCATTCAATCCCGGTTCTAACACGCTGGGGTATCTCAAGTCACACTTACCCAATAAGCAATGAGCTCGGCGTTGCCAAGCGATTTGTGAGAAGCCGATGGCAAGAATGCATGTAGACGTAGGTGACTGAGCACATTTCGCAAAGACATGTAGCCGCATGCTCCTTCCTCGCCAGGTCTGTGATCTGCACCTTTGCAATCCTTTCTGCACATCCACAGAATCTACAGAATCCACAGCCTGGTCACCCGAGTCCGGCTGTGCGCTTTCGCAGCATGGGCCTGGTACAGAGCTGCTCGTAAAGGAATGGCGTGCGCTTCCGGAGGTGGCATGTGTAACATTGCGTAGCGGTTCTAGCCGCCTGCTGGTAGCAGCTCGGACACCGACCTATCGTACACAGTGTTGTAACAGAGAGACTGGTTTGCACGAAAAGGCTTCTACCTGCAAACCTGGCGTAGCACTCTGCATTGGGGCCGAGTGACTTCTCCTCGATCAAGGGCCAGGTTTTGTACCTGCGAAACGGTGCGTTGACCTCGGCCGAGTGCCACTCCGAACGCAGCAAAAGGCACCAAGAGGCCATGGGCGGTGGCTTCCGGCCACAAAATCCCAAGACTGCGGAGTAAAGTATACCCTGGAGACTTGGCAAAGGGCATGGAAAATCTGCTATAATCTGCAATCGCATGTTCGACCTCATCTCGACTTGATAACCATAAAACTCATCGGTGCATCTTCTGCAAGGCCGCGCAGATCCCGGGAGTTCCGGCAGGTCCATCGCGCCTCGGCATCGTCGAGGTCACAGTCCACATCTTCCACATCTTCGTCAAAGCTCCTGACTACCAAAAATAAAGGCACCAAAAGGTCGTCTCGCGTCGGACTGCGCCTGCTAGGACCTCTGCGAGTAACCTGGCCTGGCTTGCTCTTTGGAATTTGCCGCCGAGGTGCATGTAGCTGAAGGTCTTCCGCCCCGCCAAGTCCCAGCCCTCACTCCTGCCAACGGGGAGCAAAAAACATTACTATTTTGCGCCGGAGCTGCTGGCCTTCTAGCACTCAAGCCGCCTACATGTCTGCAGGTTCGGTTTGGTGCCATGCTTGAAACCCGTTTCCTCTCATCGCATGGAAAGCCGGTGCATCGCTCACGAAGGAGGTTGCGGACATGGACGCGGCTGTGGTTCGGGAACCTCCGTGGCAAGACTAGTGCGGCCTTCCGCATGCCACAACAGCTACGGGTACCACCACTCTCATAGATGAAGTGCCGATACTTCAGGGCTTCCTGGCCAGTGAGAGTCCTGAAGTTCTGTTCCTCACTAGAGTCCCGATAGCGCGGAGAACAGCAGCCGGAGTTGCACTGTCGTCTAGCAACCTACAGACCTCAAGCTGTGATTGCAAGCCCAGACACATGACCGCTGCTGTCTGTAGAGCACGTTGCAGAGGTGACACGAAGATGGCTTCCGGCGGCTTTAAATCGGCATCGTCTAGCAACATCTTCATGATAGTTGCCGCCTTGGATCCCAGCTACACACCATGAGCACCTGCGCGACATGAGATCCGCAAGATCTCCAAAATTAGAATGGGCATGCAGAGAACTCTATGTTGGATGTCAGGACACGGATTAGCGAGTCATGATAGGTAAAAAACTGACTGTCGCCTCTGCGCTTCTTCATCGAGGCAGACTAGGACGAGAGCGAGTCATGAAACCATCGGCAACACTCTCCACCCGGCTCTGTCACGGATGATCAACTAATTCACCAAAGGAACTGTGGCCACGGCCTGTTCTTTGCCTTTCGCGGACAACCTCGGTTGCAGAGGAATGTTGCGCTGACCTCTTCGAACATTCACGAGAATTGTCGTGTAGGCTGGCAAGCATCGAGAAGCGCAAGACAAGGCGGGCCTAAAAACTTGGGCTACAGCTCTTGTGGCTCCAGCTGGTTGCAGGAAAGAAACGGGGCATCTTTCAAACCTTCGTCGCTCAATGCGGACTTTCGTGCGATCCTGGGCAGCTTCGCGTAAACGCAGAAGCTCTAGACTCTACACACTGCTGGAAAATGTCTGAACCTGTTTCTAGGCGGCACATGAAATTCTGGAGGTTCTCAGCTTCCAAAGCTGATCAAGAATCTCACGCCCCATGACGCCAGAAACTGCTTTCAGTAGGTATAGTAGGTCAAAAGCTGTCCACGGAAAAGCTAGAGCACTTCTGTACAAGCACTTCTGTACACGCCCCACTGGCTGCTCGTACCCACACACCTACCCCGACAGCGAGACCCGCGGAAATTGCCGGCCAGCTGGCTCCATGGCCTCTCGATGCAAGGTCTCGTCATTGGTCTTGTTGTTGTCGGCGAGTGCCTGTTGCCTCAGCCCCAAAGCAGAACCATCCAGAATCAAAAGTACATCCCGCATCCCTCCATTCGCAGCACCCTTGGCGCAGGCAAGTCACAGAGCAGACTTTTCTGCGACATTGTGCAAAGCCTCGACAGTGATTAGACGGGGCTTCTCCTTTCTGAATTAACCAATTAACCAATCGGCAAAGTAATCTATCGAAGACTTACCACAACAAGCACTGTCCTTCAACTCTACACACGGAGCTGGTGGGAAAGACACGCACCAACACACACACACACACACACACTGACTGCCGGAAGAAGTGTTGTCTGCCCTCCCGGATGGATCCCGTAAAGGGTGTTACGCTAGATAAGGCCTGCAACAGTAGTCAAGCATGTCATGAATCTTAGGCTGCCGTGCTCAACGTCTCAAAGGTATGGTGAAGTGTGATGAAGTTGGTAATGATGATGAAAACGAAAAATGAGATGAAGTTTTTGGTGCCGACGGCATGGCATACGAAAACAAGGCGAGATGATGCATGAGGGTATGGGTTATGCCCTCGCTGTGCCAGACACCGGGAATGGCACAGCACGAAAAGAGATGGAGATAGAAATGAAGATGAGTGTATCCCCCAGCTGCCCGCGCCGGGGCCCAGGGCGGATACAAGCAGGTACGTTTGCACGGGGTTGGGGAGGGGGGTCTTCATTGACCAGGACCCCCTCCCCACCCTCCTGGTCCCAACTCGTAGCACATGTGTAATGTTTGGAGAGTGGCCTCCCTAAGCCCATGAACGAGGACCGTTCACGCACACGGTGCCCCGTTGGGGCGCGTGCAGGTACTGATGTACACGGCTTGTTGCAGAAGGTGCGCGAGAAAGTCGAGACCCTGGTGAAACTGCATCTTGTGAAAAAGATGTGGGTACCGTTGCCGAGTGCATGTGCAGAACAACTAGGCCATCCGATCATTGCACGACTGGAAGCGTTAGCCCTTTACCGCAGACACTTTACCCTAATGCAGTAGACCTCATGTCAGATGCGTACGCACTGATGCGCAAAGGCTGAATAGAGACGAGTCAGGGAACTAGAGATAAGCGAGACAGACTAGAAAACGAAGGTAGCCAAGCGCCCACGGACCACTTTCGAGTTACCAGATGCAAAATGCACTCACGTCTCATCCAGACCCGGATGAGAGGATTCCGAAAAGCGCAGATCTCGGTCCCTCGTTCCAGACCCAAGGAATGGAATGTGTTGAAGGATTAGGGTCCCGTCCCTCTGCATCGTCGTCGTGCCAGACACAAGGATTTGGTTGCTGTCTGCGAAGTGCAATGCTAACAGCAACATGTAACACGTTACAGGGATATGGGTTCTGTCCCCGTTAAGGATACCAGCTGCAGACTCACTCAGCCACCCAGGTACTCCTCTCCTAACAGGTACGTTTACACGTCTGCTACTCATGGTCTTCGTTGGTCCCAGCATGAATAACAGACCTGGGACCCCCTGCAGGAACAATGCCAACTCGCCATGTGCAGGCGTGCACACACACACACACTCACTCACTCCTGTACTTCAGGGTACATCATTCACTGCAGCACCCTGCTACGAAGTCCGAAGACATTCTGTGATCCATCGAACTGCTTCGAGTCTGTGCTCGCGGAAAGGAGTCGGCCTCACCATGACGGACGAGAAAGACCTTGAAGCAAGCGAGTTTTGTCAGGACCATTGCGGACCACTACGAGACGCAGCGCTTCCTGCGACAACCACTTCAAAAGAATACTAGCAACAAGACAGGAATACGACGTGACATCCACATGAATCCAAGCATGACAGTCGTCCGAGCCACTGTCTTCGAAAGCGGCTCGTTCGCTAAACTGCCCGGAGTAGACGTCCATGGGCTTTCAGGCAGACCGAACGGGCTGTCGTCGTATGTCGAGGATATGCCTGGGCTCTTCTCCAGGCAATTTCGAGAAAGCAAGGTGGGGCGCATGCTGCTGAATGCCACGTAGACTAGCAGTAACGACAGCGAAGTTGTCGTCATGACTCACATCTCCTCCCCCTCCTCCCCTCCTCCTCCAAGATCTTGTAATCGTTATTTCCTACCACTTGGCAAGGGCAACGCCAACGCCCGCACTGCAGGGTTAAGCGAGCGGGTGCTCGAAAACATGGTCGAAGACGAGTGCTCAGATGACTCGATCATGCGACCACTTCAACCAGAAACACCCATACCAGCTTTGGTCCTACCATCACTACAATCAGGACGAGAATGGGGAGGATGAGCAGGAGGACGAGGAGGGCGGCGACGACGACAACGACGCCAAGACGATCACGATGACGAGACGACTCCGACGAGCAAGGTCTCCACGCAGCCGCGCTCTGGCCCATGCCAGCAGGCAGCACATATCTGCCGGGGTGCTGAAGGACAAACGGCACGGTTTCTCGTCCGGCATCTTTGATTCGCATCTCAAGCGAATCGGCGCTGAGCCCTAAAAATCACTGCAGACAATAAGCACATGCTGGCCAAAAATGGCCCCACAGCATGCCGACATGCATTGCTCTGAGTGAGTGTAACAGCGACGCCGCAGGGTAGCACAGGTCTAAAGTGACTGCTCGACACACGCTTGTCCCATGGCTATTTCCCAATCTGAGTGCTCGTGCGTTTGGCACGGGACCGCTGAAGGCCAGCTGGGTTGTTGCCTAGGCAAGCGACGTCTCGCTGTTCTGCAATGGGTTTGCATTGTGGAGTCAAGCCTGTCAGCTGCGACAGCTGGTATGGGTTCACACTGGATAAGAGAAAGGTGCACACAATCCGAACTCTCAAGGATGCCTTCACAAGAGATATCTCCATCGATCATCGACGTGAAACTTCGAGGCAAACATCATGATCATTAGACTTCGTAGCTTGTCTGCTAGACGTATCGCGTCTACGAGACATCGTCTCATGCATGCTTGTCTTGAGTTCTCGCCGCTACCACTACACACACACACGTATACATATATATATATACATACATACATATATATATATATATGCATAGCACGCTGCCATCAAATTCTAACCATGAAATCCTGGAGGAGAGAGGCACCCAGACAGCTGGCGCCGAGGAGTTCCAACGAACCCTGGAGCTTAGACACGAGCTTTGACCTCCGGGTAAAAGATGGTAAAAGCAGAGAGTTCTCGGAAGACTGGGGACGACAATTCTCTCACTCCGGCTCGGCCAAGTAGGGCCACAAGTCTCACGCGATCGGCCTTCCTAGCTTCCTAGACTACAGCGTTCCTTCGAGCTTTCTTCTCCATGCCTGCAGCCGCAACTGCATTCTTTTAACATGGTCCTTGTCCCATAGTGCCACAGTTTCTTCAACACTTCCACTATCTGTCTTGCTTTCCCTAGGTGGTTTTCTTGGCTTAGTTTGTCAGTTTGCTGTGCTTACGAGGTTCTAGGAGGATGCGACATTCTGCTTGCAAGGCCCCTGCTGCGTCCATGGCTGGGACTTTAACGCCCTTCCCCGTCCACCAAGAACGCCGAGAGAAATCTCGAGCCAAAACCACGACATCAAGGGAATGAGGGATATCGGATGGCTGACGAAAGAGAAGCTGTCTCGGCAACAAAGCTAAACTGCAGCCGACCACTTTGACCTAGAGCACAACTTCTGCTGCGACCTTTCAATTGCAGCGATTTCTGTTCTTGGTCCTCGGCATCGGCGTTGAGGCCGGGAAAGGGTGGGTATAGGAGGCATGTGTCTGGTACAGTGATACCGCGGCGCACTCTTTTCCAGCTTGCAAGGATGTGAGATCAGTTGCCAGTGCGTTGTCGGCTAGCCACGGAAAACTGGCCCCGATCTCGGCGGCCCAGGCTGCCCAGGCTGCCCAGGCTGCTGCTGGGGGTCCGTACCCAGCGGTGGAAAGATTGGGAGGCTCGTCTGGACGCCTGGCCGCACACCGCTTGATGGCAGTTCGCGGGGCTGGGGTGCATGGTCCGACCTTGGTAAGAAGGCCGTGTCTGTAGGCGGCAGGGACGGCGTGGACTTCGGGGTCGTGCCTTGAGCTGATTGCGAAAATCCAGGGCTCGGGAGGCTCTGCGCAGACGCGGGTGCGCTGTGGGTAAAACTCACCCTTGGCCGGCTGGGCATCTGCCGACCTTCCGGGAGGGACGCCCGAGAAGTCGGTTTCGGATGAGTGACGTCCTCGTAGCCCGGGGGGAGGTTGTACGCCGGTGCGGCGCTCTCCGTTGTAGCCTCCGATGGAGGCGGCACCTTCTCCATCATGCTCAAGACCTTGCCACTGCCGTAATGACAGAACATCAAGACAAGATCCAGACAAGCTCCGCGCCACCGCAAGGATGCACAGCAAGGCCAAGAGGGCCTCAGAGAGACTGAGACCCGTGGATGCCATACACACTGTTGCGATCCGTCTTGGAGCCACCGAAGGGTGCTGAGCCCCCTGCATCGGTGCCGGGACTTGCGCCTGGAGTGCGCGAGCTCCACTGGCGAAAGTGATCCCGCAGAGGAACTATGCCAATGGGCTTCCCACAAGACGCATGCAATGGATAAACTGAACAAATTCAAGAAGTGGAATGCGGGAAAGCAAGTTGTTTTTCCACCGTGGCTGTGCTGCCCATTTGGCCCCCGTTCGTCGCTTGGGCTCCCTGCTGATTGCCAGGGTGTCGGCGTTGGGGCCACCATTGAGGCCTGGATAGATCGCTATGAGGATCGGACGCTTTGCTGCGCCTCCAAACCCTCTCCGAGCTCCTGGCTGATGCGCGTGGCACTTGCCAACTGCCGCCCATCTGGGGCATAGGCAGAGAAGCCAAGAAACCTTCAGCTTGCATCGATTGGTTCGGGCTTTGGCTTGGGGCTCAGGCTGACTCTCGCACGTTGCAAAAGTTTCTGCTTAAGGTCATGTTGCCGCGAGCACTTCGAAAGTGGTGTTGAATCGCATAAACCGCTCATGCTGGTAACTCTCCCATAACTGGGGGCTCCCTGCGCGGTGGACGTCCGCATCGTCATTACTAGCTGCTCCGACCTGTTCAAGACTTGCAACAATCACGAATACACTACACCCAACTGTGTGCCCACAGGTAGCATACGAGTGCCGCATCTAGCTGAATCTAGCTGCTGGACTCAGCCATCAAACATAAATGTTTGCAGATTCAGACACATGCCACCACTTCTAACAACCATCTGCTCTTTCAGAATGCCACGAACAGCAACTCCATGCTCCGCACCCATCACTGTGGTGATGTACTTGCCTCAAGTCAACGGTGGCGCAGATTCTCGATTGGATTAAGCCGCGGTGGTGGCAATGTAGTACAAGTGTTGGTTAAATGGCATCGGACCTCGGCGTTCACTCTTCCTGACCACGACCACGACCACAACAGCCACCACCACCACCACCACAACAGCCACCACCACCACCACCACCACCACCACCACCACGACCACCACAACCACCACCACCAACAACAACAACAACCACCACCACAACCACAAACAACCACAATCACAACAGCAGCAGCGGCAACCACCACCAACAGACAAGCTGAGACTGTCCTGGAAAGAGATTTGCCAGTGTAGCGCGCATTTTCTAGGGGCCGTTCTTTTCAATTTTCAAATCGGATTGATTTAGTTGAGTGTGATATCAAGGTGCAAGGGTCAGCGGGGCATTCCTACTCGTCTCGGCAGGCCATGCGCACAAGTCTTCGACAACAGAGTTGTTGCCAGCTCCGCAATTGAATAAGCCTTCGCATGTTGCGAAAACGTCGGGCCGTGAGAAGCGGTAGACTGGGGCAACGGCCACTTGTCATTGGATCGCGTCATAGAGCCATACCTTGAGAGCTTTCGAAAAACCTTCCTGGACACTGCCTCCTACGGGCGAGACATCAGCCCTTCATGAGCCCATCCAAGCTTCAGCAAATGGTACAGCAACAGATCGAGCCCTTTTTCATCCCCAGCCAAAGCCAGGGGCCAAGAGAGTCTGGGATCGATGACTTCTGGTTTGATGGGCCGAAGATCTCCGTGGGCGCTCGCTGCGCCATGGCCTTAAGAGCTCAGGGCCAAGAGGTCGAAGGACGCCGAAGGATAGAAGCTGGACTCACACATGCGCAACAGACCCTCCCCCTCTGTTTGACGGGCATGACATGCCTCAACTCGACAGCCGAGCTCAATGCCCCAAGGTGCAAGAGCCCAATGCCTCAGAGCAGAATTCGCGGGCTTGGAGCTTACGGCAAGGTTGGGCATGAACAACAAACTGCCTCTTGAAACTGGTTGTCTTTCGGGTCGGCACTGGCATGTGGGTGCCGCGCTGCCGGGGTTGTTGTGAGCCTGGGAATGTGCTGGTGCTCCAACAAAAGCATACCAAGTTGCACAGGCAGGGCCACCGCGAAGGACAAGCATGCGCAAGCAGTGGTGTTTCGTCACGGAGCCCAAGTCACGTAGTCTGAGAAACCGAGGCGGGCACTGCAACAGGTGACCAATCTGGCGGCATTGAACTACACGGACAGAAAGGGAGTCATTTCACCAAGCGGAAGAAGGCGCAGCGCTGCGCCGAACAGCCGAACTCGAAAAGGGGTCGACTCGCGAAGCTTCTCAATGCTTGGGCAAATTGCCTGCGACTGACCGTGGCCCTGTGCTGTGCCACGTGGCGTCTTCGTGCCTGGGCAGTTCAAGAAGCTCCCCAAGTCCGTTCGAATGAAAACCGGCCTCCGCACCTTGAGAAACGGCTCTCTGAATCCGAGGCCGGCACAGAGCGGGAGCCACGCATGCAGCAACGGCTGCCCTCAGATCCAGGAGCCCAAAGCCCAGGAAGGCCACCAGATTCAGCAACCAGCCCCACGGGTTGACGAAGCTTGGACTTTGGGGCAAAGGCTCTTCGAAGAGTCTGTGACAGGGATTCTTCACGGCCCCAGGGACCGCACTTCCACTCAGGCCGAGAATAGGCACCGGGAAGGTCCCAGCTCGCAACCTCCCCGGGACATGCTTGCTGTAGTCGTAATGATACTCATGGTAAAAGAAGCAGCAGCAGAGGTCACAGGAGTCGCAATACGATTCTTCTGCGTTGTTTCCGTAGGTTTGTATCATGCGTGCATAGACATACATACAGACATATAAATATATATATATATATAGGCATCTAGATACATGCCGGAAGACCCAAGCACACTAGGTCTCTAGGCAAGTCCTGATTTTGTCTGCAACTCCTGACGCTGCCCAGCCCTCGGAACCTGTCCAGCGCCTCGAGAGGTATTCTGAACCTGGGCAACAGGTGAGCCCAGGCTATATCAACATACAAAAAGGAGCGAACGAACAAGCAAAGCAACAAGCACATAAACAACCCTGAAATGGTATGCACGCATGTCGGTGTGTGTGTATATATATATATGCGTGTATATGTGTGCGTGTGTAGATAGTTGGTATTCATACATGCTTCGGCGTGCATCCAATACTCCCCCTT